TTGGTCAGGGTGTATGATATCTTGGATAACAGTTTCTAATCTAAGAGCAAGAATCTTAGCCAAGATTTTTACATCTACATTAAGAAGAGAGATAGGACGGTAGGACCCACACTCCAATGGATTTTTATCAGGTTTTAAAAGAAGAGAGATTGATGCCTGGCGCAAAGAAGAAGGGAGATTACCATTATTTAAAGAGTCTTCAAAAACAGAGAGAAGCAAAGGTGAAATCTGAGCGGAAAACTTTTTAAAAAACTCTGTGGGAAATCCGTCAGGCCCTGGAGATTTTCCGCTTTGCATTTGTGCAATAGATTTTGAAATTTCATCTAAGCTGATAGGTTCATCCATTTTTGCTTTTAATTCACTACTTATTTGAGGAATATTAAGATTGTCAAAAAATCTACTAATAATGTTAGGGTCTTTAAGGGAGTCTGACTGGTACAATGAAGAGTAAAAAGATTTAAATGTATTATTAATTTCTTGAGGGTCTGAAACAATAATGCCTTCTTGGGTTTGAATTTGGGTGATAAAGTTTTTTGCTGTTTTAAGCCTGAGTTGCAGTGCAAGTGTTTTACCTGGTTTATCACCAAACTCATAAAAAAGGTGTCGTGATTTGAGCAAAAGCTGCTCAGCTTGGGCAGTAGAAAGTTGGTTATATTCAGATTGTAAAAAGATTCTTTCATTAAATAGTGATGTGCTTGGGTGTTGTGCATAAATTTGGTCCAATTTACCAATTTGATCAGAAAGTTTAAAAAGTTTCTTATTACACTCCTTTTTTATATAAGCTGAGTGAGATATTATTTCTCCACGTAAATATGCTTTAAGTGTTTCCCAAAGTAAAGATGAAGAAATCCCATCCGTTGAATTGATTTCAAGAAATGTAGAGATCTTTTCTGAAAAAAACTCAACAAAATGGCTCTTAGATAAAAGTAAAGCATTCATTCTCCAAGTACAAAATGAATAGCTTCCAGGAAGGACCAGTTCAAGAATTACTGGAGCATGATCTGAAACAGTTATAGTGTCATATGAGGAGGAGTTCACTCGAGAAATAAGTTTACTGTCAATGAAAAAATAATCAATACGTGTATAAGTATGGTGCACAGGAGAAAAAAAGGAAAAAACTTTAGAAGTAGGATTTAGGAAACGCCAAATATCAGTTATTCCACACAATTCTAAAAAAGAATTAATTGTTTTAGAAGACTGAGATTGAAGGGTTGATTTGGGGGATGATCTATCAAGAACTGTGTTTAGAATGCAATTAAAGTCACCTCCCATAATCAGTTGATAAAGATTCAGGTCCGGGAGTTTAGAGAAGAGTGTAGTAAAGAAATCTGGGTTATCCCAATTAGGTGCGTAAACGCTTACTAAAGTAACTTGACTATTATAGAGGATGCCTGGCACAATCACGTATCTGCCGTTGGGATCTGAAATAATATTGGAAGGTTTGAACTGTGTATTCTTATTAATTAAAATGGCAGTGCCTCTTGCTTTATTATTAAAGCCTGAATGGAAAACCTGTCCCACCCATGACCTCTGCAGGCTTTTTTGGCACGAGATTTTAAGGTGGGTTTCCTGTAAGAAACATATATTGGGCTTTAATTTGTTTAGCTTAGAAAAAACCCTCACACTCTTCACTTTATTATTTAAGCCTTTAACGTTCCAACTAATTATATTAACCCTGCCCCGTCTATCTTGGTAGGTATCATTTGTCATTAATGTTAAACAATAACTTGATATTTCTCAAGTAGTCAAGAGTGTTTGAATGGAGAGCATAAACAAAATGAGCAGACATAACGAAATCTAAAGGAACCAAAAACATACAAAAAAACATAAAAAGAACCCGTGTCCCCCCCACGTGACCAGAACTGTCACGGAATGTAGCATCCATAACAAACCTAACTGAAAAGAACATTACAGTCAGGTGAATAAGAAACCAGTAAACAGTTTCAACTTTCAACTTTGGCTGTCATTTCGGCAGCGCTCCGTGAACGGATATATGTATATAGAAATGATTCAATAAACAGTAGACAACGCATACATGTATCTGACTTAAAATCACATACGACTATAAAAAGTAAAGTATTTTTAAAGCACAGAAACTGGGTAAATATGCTATGGTATTGCATATTTTATTTATTTTGAGGCTTCACTCGTTTTGCAAAGATGTCAGTTCAGTTCTTAATTTTACTTCAGTTCTTGATTCGGACCATTTAACTGTTACGTCGATCAAACCTGATTCGCTGCATTCTTGATGTTAGCAGTGAAGAATTCCATCGCAGCCTGTGGGGTTTGGAAGAAATGCCGCTGACCCTTGTAATCGACGCGTAGTTTAGCAGGATGCAGCATGCCATAGGTTACGCCAGCGCTGCGAAATGAAGCTTTCACATCTTTGAATCGGCTCGCTGCCTCGCCACTTCAGCAGACATGTCCGGGAAAATGCGAATCGTCGCACCGTTGAATTCCAAAGAGCCTCGTTCACGACTTAGTTTCAGAATGAGTTCTTTGGTTTGATAGTGGTGGAGACGGACGAGCATATGCCTAGGATATGCGTTCGGGTGTGTTTTTTGGCCGGTGCGATGGGCGCGGTCAATTTGTAGTGGTCTCTCAAAGGCACTGTCTCCGAAAAGTTCAATAAAAAGTGATATCATGAACGTAACCGGACTTTGACCCTCTAATCCCTCAGGTATTCCAATGATCCTCAGATTTTGCCTCCGCGAGCGGTTCTCTAAATCATCCACTTTGAGTTTAAGGGAGCCGTTTTCTTTTTTCAGTGCGTTGCACAGTGCCTCAATCGCTGTCAAGCGGCCGTCCGAGTCATTAAGTGCGGTTTCAATGTCCACAATCTTCTGAGCTTGTAGTGAGAGGGTTGATTGCAGAGTGGACACGGCAGAACGGAGCTCGGATAAGAATTCAGTTCGTAATGTTGACACTTCCGTGCGAATGGTAGTCGTAATTATCTCCTTCAGAGAAGCAGGTGTTAGCTCATCCTCCCTCGGCGAGGCGTTAGCGGCCTGCTCGCCTCCTCTTTCAGCCAACATTTCAGCGATATTTCGTCCTGATTTTCCCGGTTTTGGCATATTTGCGTATAGATATGATGCAGCGTTGCTTACTTTATAGATTTAAGACAAAGACAACTGAGATTAGTAGAAAAAATACACGAATGTTCACGGAGTGACTTCCACCTGCGTCTAGTCTCCACGAGGCATACCGGAAGTCTCTATCCAGAGTTTGTGTTTTTGAATGATAACAAACCTTACGCCAAGTCCAACAAGTAAAGCCACTCAATGTTGTTTTAAAGCTTATTTAATTCTAATTATTTAAAAAAGCCAAGCTTGTGGTGCACTGTTCTATTCTAAAGTCAATTTGTAAAGCTCATTAGGCTCTGCGGCTTTTGCATATTTTTATTTGTATTATCTTTCACTTAAATTGCTGTTTCATAAAAACATCTATTGGGAAGAGTTGTCCTATTAGATATTAAGCTTTTATGGCACAAACGTGTTATTTATTTTAAAGCATACTTTTTTTTATGTATTAAAAAGCCTAGCTTGATGTGATTTTTTTATTGTTGTGATTTTAAAGTAATCTGATTTGTTATAAAGCTTTTCTGGTAAATAATAATAATAATAATAATAATAATAATAATAATAATAAAACAATAAACAACAATTAAACAGTATTTAATTTTCTAATGCTTGCAGTATGCCTGATATGTTACAAAACGGTTCACAAAGACAATTTGATTTATTAAAAACCTCATCTCTTATCCTTTCTTTCACGTTATGTGATAAAAGATTGAATGACTCGAATGAACTAAGTGATTCATTCATTCGCTCATGTGAATGTTGTGTAGTGCGGGAAAAGATCAGTTCATTTTTCTAGTCCTCTATCGAGTCTGAGTCGTTCACCACGTGAAAGACTAAAGCCTAGCCAATCATATGCATTTAGAGCCGGAAAAAGAATTGATTCTTTCACCTCTCGAGTCCTTGGGTTTGAGTCATTCTGTCACGTGATGAACGAACGACTCAAGAGCCAGAAGACTTGAAAGGTTAACTAATTATCATAGATCCTATCGGCTCAGACTGTGTGCATTGGATAAGATTATATGTAACTGTCAGTGTAAAGTGAACGAACAACTGACATTTGAAGACATGAAGAGTTCAGCTGAGCAAAGAGACAATACCTTCATAGACAAAAGAGCAGATAAACATTGAATTATTTTATCCTTATAGTATTCCATTTATGACTTATTTGTACTGTGATCAACCTTTTGGGCTAATTGTACATGTGTTTGGAAGCAATTCGTAACATTTTAATAATATGTTGGCAAATTGAACCAAATGGACGAAATCACAAGAAAAAAAGATTTGTTCATCTTGATGAACGAGACTCAAAGATCCGAGTCAGTAAAATGATCCAAACTTCCCATCACTACTCAGCAATGTGAGTGTCAAACTGAGCAGTTTATATTGTCTGAGAGATCAGTCCTCAAGCAGCTCCCAGCTGTATGTGTGTAATCAAAGGTAAACCAGATCAGGTGTGTCTATGTCTGCTTGAAGGGAGTTGTAGTTCAAATGATAGCAGAATTGTAGGCCGGGTGATAATGCATGTTTTCAAGTGATCTACAAAGTCTAGACGCAGGCGAACTTGACAATATAACTGTTTGGGCTTAGAGTAAGACAATGTTCTGATCATCTGGAGTATTATGTTCAAAATTGTTGTACAAATAGGAGAAGGACCAAATATTTGGTGCTATCAACAATATTTCATATAAATATATATATATATATATATATATATATATATATATATATATATATATATATATATATATATATATATAAATATTTTGAATGCTTACCTGTGTACAACCAACTAATTTTACAGATGTTGTAAAAAATTATTTTATATTCTTAAATAAATTGGTTGTTAAACAATAACTTATACTGCAACTGCTACAGACATTTACATAAGGTTGTAAATCTAAAAAGGGAAAAGAGCACTAATTTTGAAGATATATTGTTTTATTGATTTCTTTATTTGCACTTATAAAATGTACAAAAGCACATATGTCTTGATTCAAGACTGTGGAGGCATAGGTGGTGGATTTCTAAAAGAAAAGGCAATTGTAATCAGTTTTAAACATTTCAAATTTCTAACACAATCAACTGATGATTTTATTTTTGCAAAACCCCTGTATGTAGAACATTTATTTCTCAAGCCTTTGGTTTAAGGTAACTAATTCTAATATTGAAAATAAGCTACCAGTGCCTAATTAAAACAGTAAATGTTTTTCATATTTAGGAAGGTACATTAAAAGTTTGTCACATTGGCACTCACATACAAATCAGTAAGCATTGTATGCTGTATATTTCCACATCTTTTATGGCAAATTTCACAGTTGAAAATTGTTCAGTCAGTGTGCTAAATTTGTGTATTTTAATGCATTTTGCTAAAATTGTGCTATTTTAATGCTTCAATAAAACAGACACTAAAAGCATATATAAGACACAAGCACAAAACCTACACCGAAGTATAACAGTTTACAGCTAAACCACCGCCTTATTTTTCCAGGCTTGACCTCCTAGACAGCAGAGAACATGTCATGGATTTAAAAATGTGTGACTGAAACATATAAATGTACACCAAATACATACAAAATAACAATATAATCTATTAAAATATGACTAAGGATTTTTTTATGGAAAATGGCATATTACAACCATCATTGTTAATTATAATGGTGGGAGAGATTTTGTAATGTTCCTTTTTGTTTTCTCTTTTTGTTTTATAATCTTGTTTTTTCCCCCTCATTTTAACCAAGTCTTACAAAAGTAATCACAGACATTACAACTTACATAGATCAGATGCTTCAGCAAACTGACTGGTTCAGAACATAAATAGCAATCCCTTAGCAGCCACTGTTACGCCGCACGAATGCATGTCCTCGTATAGGATAATACATCTCAATGAAGGTAAGTGACCCTACAATGATTTCAGAAGGACCCTGCCCTTTGAAGCCAGACTTCTGGTAGAAGGGCACCAAGAAATCCTCACACATAAGGACGGCACGGCGCACATAAGGTAGACAGCGCAGATACTGCAAGTAACGCCACAAGAGGATGGATCCTTTTCCTTGCTGGCGGAAGGTCCGATGGACTGCCAGCACATGGATGTGAACAGTAGTTCCATGAGGTTTATGAAGGGTCAGTGCATCCTAAAAAGAGACAAAATTAAATAGTAAAATGAATAAGTTGAATAGTACAAGTTGCTTAACCATTTATATTACAGTTTTTACTTTTTTCTTTAGCATTTTATTTATAAGTTTTATTTTCAAAGACGTGCACATGCAAATCATGAAAAACATGCGAAACATGATTGAAAATATGTGCGTGTGTGTATTATGACAAGTGTTTTTTTTTATAAAAATATGTTTTAAATCTGTGCTCCAGGGCAAACAATATTGAAAATTTTAAAAATACAAAATATTGAAAAATATACATTAAACTTGATGAATTTTATTAATGAAATTTATTATTTATATATTACCACCATGCAAGGATGACAACACATTTTAATTTATTCATTCATTTTCTTATCGGCTTAGTCCCTTTATTAATCCGGGGTCGCCACAGCGGAATGAACCCCCAACTTATCCAGCAAGTTTTTACGCAGTGGGTGCCCTTCCACCCGCAACCCATCTCTGGGAAACACATTTTAATATTATAATAAATTTTAATTAAATAATAATAATAAAAAAGAATTAATGCTATGTTGTTTCAAACCAATGTTGTCTAATATAACCAATCCTAACGTAATAAAGTTATTTTTAACTACATTTTCACCCAACTGCTGGGTTTGCCCATACTTGACATAGGGCTAAATGTGGGTTTAAATTTTATGGTGTAAAAGTAATAATAAACAATAATAACTAATACTTAATTAACCTATGTTACTAACGATAACAAGTATATATTTGAAGATTATTACAGCAGTCAGACGGTCCTGGTCCCAGAGAGATCCTATGATAAAAGCGACAAGCCTTCCCTGTTCAAACCAGCCCAAAGAAAGCTCAGGACAGAGAGTGAGAAAGTGCCTGACTTCATCCAGGTGAAGAGGACATTCTCCAGAGACTGAAATAAAAGCTGAGAAATAAAACGAGAAAACATTGACGTTCTGACACGTTTCAGACAGTTTTACATTTACCCACACTAAATAAACACCAGACAATGAATATTACACACATATGACCACACAAACCTAATGAAAAGCAAATCGATGATTGCAGTATTGCCTCACCCTCTCTCTCAATTTCGAACACACTGATTGCGTCCTCGGCGTTGAGCGAGCGAAACTCGCTTGCTGGGAGCGTGTGTCGGCGCTGGCGGCCAGGGGAAATCGGAACTCTCGCATGGATGGGCTTCAGGAAAGGCAGTGCGCTCACTACTGACATTTCTGCTGCTTAAAAATGTATTTCGTCTTATAAATAAGTAAATAGTTTTCAATTGTCGCTTACGGGTATTCTATTTCCAAGGGCTGTGTCCAAAGTGAATCATGGAGAGGTGCACCATGGGCATTTATACCCCTCCATCTGCTTAAGATTCATTAGTCACCATAAGCCTTAAAGCAGCCCCCATTTAACCATTAATCACGTTTACTGAAACCACGTGAGTCTGTTCAATGGCCAATAGGCACATTTTGATTTCAATTTGTTCAGTTTTTTTTCATTCATGATAGTTGTGGCAAACTATTTCTTAACTTTAATAACTGAATTAAATTACCTAAAAATCCATTTCATTCACATGGGTTGATGGATCAGTACACTAAAATTCCATTAAACAGCCAAGATTAGATTAGTCTTATTTAAAATAAAGACTATAAAAGGGAGTACAAGGAGGTATAATGAAAATAAAGATAACGAAAACAACTAATTCCCAGAACGGTTGTTCCCATTTCGTTCACAAAATGCTCTGTGAACGTTTCCAGAACCTGCGTTCTCAAAATAATCTCTACAAAAACCCTCCCAAATAATAAAGGGAACATTCCCAGAGGTTTTTAGAACATCCTCAGAAGGTTCCCAGACCAGAATGGGTACATAGGCGCTGTTGCACACAATTAATCAGACATCACTTAAACCATTGAGCAGTAATCTTGCATGAAATTATTTGCTGAACAATAGAACATAGCTTAATTTTATTATGATCTGCATAAACGTTTTTTATTGTAATCACAATTTTATTTCCTTGTAATTGCAAAATAACAAAAGTTGTTTGTGATCTCAACTTAAATAAACAGCCACGTACTGGATGCGTCATTAACAGTTTAAATGTCGTGTTTACATGTTACTGCATGAAAATCAATAATGAAATTGTTGTAATGCCCTGTTATATAACATTTTGTGAAACATGCAAACTGGTGTATGCAGGTAAATCACTGGCAACAAATAGCTAGTTCTATAACAGTAACGTGGAGAGGAAATGTTTCCTATAAATTCTACTCTTAAATATAACCCTGGCCTATCAATGAAGAATTGCACCTTTTGATATTAACTTAATTAGCGTTATTTTGTATTTATTTTACAGATATACACATTTATGGTCTATTATTAAATAAATATTTTATAGGATGAAATAAAAACAACAATAATTCCCGGATTTTAAAAGTAAAATAATAAATAAACATTTAACAAAAGCAACCATCCTGTCAAACACTGCCATCGTGTGGCTGATCTGATCATGTGTTTGGGTGGAGCTGCAGATGAAAAACATAAAACAGATGATCCAACACAATGCCGTACGTAATACACACGCACACATTATTCGTCCCTTATTTAAACCAATTTTGCTATGATCTGACAAGTCAAAACATTTGCTTTAAGTCTCTGTTTTCAACTGATAATGCAAGTAGAGATTCAAATAAGCTAATTGTTCTGCTCTTAAAAACAACAGGTGACTCGTCCTCCATGCGGCGCTGTACGTAGAGACGTAAACACGTGTTTCTCCTGCTCACAGGTTTCCATCCCTCGCCTCCCGCATCATTCAGCAGCAGCAGCAGCAGCAGAGATGGCGCAATTCGCCCCAGCAGCGCTTTCTCCGGCCGTAAGCCTGAGCTCCGAGCCTCCGTCCAGCGCGTTCTCTCCCACGGAAGGTGGAACACAGCGGCTCCTGTTTACGCATGATCTGGTCTCCGGAAAACATCACGGGGCGATGCGTTTTGGGCTTGTACGGATGATTCATGGAGAGGAGGATTTTGAAGATTCGGACTCTGAGATTGGTGGTGATGGCGGTGGAGGAGGTGGAGGCGCTCCCGCTAACTCGGATAACGAGAGTGGTGCTGCGGAAACACGGCCATGGCCTCTCGGTAGAGGATTTGTGCGGGTTCAGTGGTATCCTGAAGGAACGAAACAGGATGTTCGAGAAACGAAGGTAACGTTTATGAAAGCCGCAGATTATCCCAACGTTAACCCCATACGACTAACAATGAGCAATCAGCTATATTTTACCGTCGTCGTTTTTGTCGCGATTATTTAAGCAAAGCCGAAATACATTTGTTGTTGTCTTTTTAGTTTTATCTTTTTTTTTAAACAAGGAGGCAACGTGTGTTTGTTTCATATAGAAAATTGTCCCACTGGGCACTGACAAGTTTTAAGCACATGAGCGCCTAACAATCATTTAAAAACTATCGTAAAGCCGCGAGTACCAACGTAAACGCACATTTATAAAAATAATTAGTTAAAATAGTTCAGGACCAACACAAAAGCTCATCGGCTTATATCAGATACTTTTTAATATTTTGCTTGTAGCGAGTGTGAGTATTTTTTGTAATTTTTATTTCTTATCATTTATTAATCAGTGTAAATTATTTATCACTCGCAAATTAGAAGTGTTTTAGCGTCAATTCAACCTGGAGTAAACAATTTCAGATTCTAGGCCTTTCCCTGACGTTTCTGGACCTTCATCGCATTATTCTACTGAATTGCTTTCAGATTTTCGTTTCAGTGTTTAAGCACTAGAAGCCACCATTTTATTCTTCAGCTTTCAGGTATAGTATTAGAATAAAGCACTAAATTAGAATACAATGGTGTGTGAATAACACATATGTTAGGCTATTTCCAACGAAGACTCCATTAATCAGAAAACTACCCCACCCTGAAATGCCATGTTATGGCTTACAATGAGCATGAATGAACTATGATTAAGAAAACAATATCAGTAGGTTGTTGAAGTAACAGTGTTTTGGTTCTAGTGCAGAATAATTTTAAAACTAGCTCAAAAAGGATTCAAAATGTTTTCTATGATGGATGTTTCTACAAGTCATTTTTGAAAAGTGTCACTCATATATAGTAATTGTAATTATAGGTCTACAAATATATATCAATATTACTTTTTTATTTAAAAATAAATAATTTTTAATACTGTCTTTGAGAAAAAAACTTCTAACAATGGCTTGAATTAACCCTTTAACTACCCCACCAAGAAATAAAAAAAAAAAGAAAAATTGTTGGTATGCATTTATTAGCTCCTAATATTGCTAGTTGTCAATGTATTTTTTTAAACATATCCCATAATTATCATCCCAGAAATAAAGAAAGAAAAATTGTTGGTATGCATTTATTAGCTCCTAATATTGCTAGTTGTCACAATGTATTTTTTAAACACATCCCATAGATAAGTCGCTTTATGTTAAAAGTACCGGTATTGTTACATATACTATGACAATAAGAAAATATGAACAGAACTACTAATAGTATTTAAACATAATCAAAATAAATTATTATTTACTGAGTCATCTTTATTTATTGTAGTATGTCATAAAATATTTCAGGCTCTCATTTAAGACAGTATTTTTTCACAATACACCCAAAGTCAAGTGTAGTAATGCAACATGATTATATAAAAGCCAATATTAATCACTAAATAATATTCTGTGTGTAATATTGAAATGTTATCTAGCTAGATTATTATGGATGAATCAAGAAGTGCAGTATTAGGCTTAAATCCACCTTTGCTTTACTGTAATACATATAGTCATGTGCTCTTTTTAAAGGTATGTACAAATAAAATGTTAATGTTTGCGATATCTTGGGTTGCATAGCTCCTCAAGGTCTAGCAGCAGGCAGAATGAGCAATGCAGTCAAGAGGCAGACTGAGCAAAATAGTCTAGAAGCCAAAAGCAACAAATAAAACAAATACAGTCTAAAGTTGTTAGCAAATTAATTAATTAATTAATTCATTCATTCATTTATTTTCTTGTCGGTTTAGTCCCTCTATTAATCCGGGGTCGCCACAGCGGAATGAACCACCAACTTATCCAGCAAGTTTTTTTTTTTTTTTTTTTACGCAGCGGATGCCCTTCCAGCCGCAACCCATCTCTGGGAAACATCCACACACACATTCACACACACACACTCATACACTACGGACAATTTAGCCTACCCAGTTCACCTGTACCGCATGTCTTTGGACTGTGGGGGAACACAAAGACTGTGTCTTTGGAGCACCTGGAGGAAACCCACGCCAACGCAGGGAGAGCATGCAAACTCCACACAGAAACGCCAACTGAGCCGAGGCTCGAACCAACCTTCTTGCTGTGATGCGACAGACTACTGCGCCACTGCTTCCCCCTAGCAAATTTATGATTCATTATTGGTGGTTAGTAAACAGTTTGTGTAAAACATGTGTAAGCATTGCAGAGTTATTAGCGTCAGATGCACTTTGACGTCCTGCTAGCACATTTGTCGATGGCGTAAACAAATCATATAGCTGATCAATATGATTTCCATAAATTTTGGTCAAAAGAACAAAGCAGTTCAGACCCAGAAAGAGCAAAGCAGTCCAGAGGCAGATTGAGCACATTTGAGTACATGTGTCGGTCGCCTATTGACATGAATTTCACAATACTTTGTCAACATGGTCTGACAATGATCTGAGTCAAATTTGGTGATATTTCGACAAACGGTCTAAGAGAAGTTTGCAAATGAATTTTTGAACAAAAGCTATATGGCTGACAGTACAATTAATTAAAAATCTGGTTTCGATTTCGATTTTGGCTTCTAACAATTATGAAAAAACATTAATCAAGATAAAATGATTATTCCATCATATACAACCCATTTCCAGTTGTACACATTTGTTGCTCTGCAAAACTCAGTTCCATGTGAAAATGACTAAAAAGCATGTACTGTACTGTAATGTTTGCAGCATGGGATGCGCATCATTCATTGATGTATATTCAAATCATTCATGTGTTTAAATGCATGAAAGAGCGCATGCTGTTGTGTGTGTGCGCTTGGCCTCGTAGACTAGCAGAGCACACACATCTCACGCCATCTGCGAGTGCTTTAATGGTCGAATACATGCACATTTGTGTCAGAGCGCGGTGTTTAGTAATCATTCATATAAACCCTCATTTGTGTAATAAACAGACAAGTTGAGAATCAAAAGACATGTGAAAGAGAAACCATATCAGAGCTGAGCTATTCTTAAAGTGACAGCACGCAACATTCCTGCTGCCGATTGTTTTGATCATTAACCCGTTGCGTTCTGATGAAACGTCGGGGAAACATTGCTAAATATAACGGCTTCCCACAAAAAGACAAAACATTGCATATATCTTTTGAAAGCTGAGATTCTTGTCATTAAAACTATTCCAACCATTTTAAGACACAATGAACATAGCAGACACAATTAGTGTCTTTGTCAAACTGCCGATAACAACAGAAACAACAAAACTGAAAAAAACTCACATTTTATGGCTCCTGTTGCTCTTGTCTGCCCACAGATCCATAAAATTTCAACAAACAGGGTGTAATTACTCTAAAAAGGTACAGCCAATTAAATTCAGTGAAATATTTAGTCCACAACTCGTTTATATGTCAATAAACATCCAATGAATGCACCGAGATCATTTCAAACTAGTCGCCGAAGCAATCAAATCTATAACATGTTCAGGAGTTTAGTGTCTTTTTAGATTTAAATAATACTTTCATTTTGAAAGGAAAATGGGTGCTGACCTTTGCCCTTTTGATTGACGTATCATTTAAACCAATACCTGCTTCTAAGAGGTGTCAATAGCTGTCAACATCCAAGGAGCGCACAACTTGGAAACTGTTTCCGCCGTCGCTTTGACAATCAATAGATCAATCCAAATTTAAATCACTTTGAAAAACACTGCTTTATCTGATAGCCATTAAGCATCTGAAGAGATTAATATGCAGCTTTAGTGGGAAAATTCAACCTACTAAGCACAGAAGTTTGTTTGTAAAGTGCCATAGTGACTTGTGCATTTATGCGTAAAGAGTGGTGCAAGAGAGTTTTCATTGATTGGAGATGAAAATGGCAAAAAACTAGCAAAACACAGTTCTTGCTTGAGGAAGTTGTTAAAATGTACTCTGGTGTCAGTGATGAATCAGATGAGTGATGTTTCATCTATTGACTGCAGATATATTAGTGTGTGTGTGTATAAACTGTATAAACGCATAAATGAGTAGTCTAGAAATATATTACACTTAAATTCATTTTAATTTGGAAAAAATTTGCAAGATTTTGTATACAGTTTTTGGTTTCTCTAGAATTTTGCTGTTTTCATTTTTTTTGTAAATATTTTTCTATAACATATCAATTTGGGTGTACTAATTTTAGATCATTATCATTAGTTATTTTATTAGATAAGCTACAGATCTGGCTGCAGTACTGACTAATGTTTATGCACAAATTATAAATAGAAAAGCTTTCTATTGAAATTATTTATCAGAGATTTATGTCAGAGATCTATGGGAGTACACTCTTTTGTTGAGCACTATATGCACACACACACACATACACACACATATACAGTAGGTGAGACTGGTTCAAAGTGGCTATTAGCACCGCAGCATGTACCGCCGCCGTTTGAAATAGGTACCGCTCTGTATTTAGTGTATGACCGCAGTTTGTGAATAAGCCGCCAGGGGGGTGCAAAGGGACGGGATGCGAACAGACAGAAATAACCCATACAGCAGCTACTTTGTAAAGTGTACTTTATGATCTTTTTGCAACTAAAATGAAAGCATAAACATTCAGTACAAATAAGTAGTCTTAAATAAATAAATAAAGCAGTCTTTTAACATAAATATAGAGAGATGTTCAGTGTTTGCTATTTTGATAGGACTTAGACAAGACATTTTCATTTATTTTACTTGTTTAAATGTTTTTACTTACATTTTCGTTGTTGATTATAGTTTACTATCTCATTTTATGTCTCAATAATTGTAGATAATAATAAACGAATAATGAAAAAATAAATGAATAATAGGGATATAACGGTATCAGAATTTCACGGTACGGTAATACCTCGGTATGAATGTCACGGTACGGTATTTATTGAATCATTTACAGGAAAAAACAAAACTTATGAAAATACTCCAAAAAAGTGCCAAAAGTGTCAA